TATAAAAAAGTGTAATGGTTATGTCACAGATGGCATAATGGTTATGTCACTATACTCCTACATAGTGGACCATGGTTCAGATCCTGGATCCAGCAGCTTAAAACTCAAGTGGATACATGTGCATGCGTGCCCAAAATCCCAGAAGAAGAAGAGGGGATTGTGGTATGGCCATCCTCCCGGAAGGTGATTTCTCTCTTTCTGTCTGTCTGTCTGTCTGTCTCTCCAGTCATGACACATGCCCCATAGCAAAAAATTCTCAAAAAAAATTTTTTTCTTAAATAACATTACTAATAGAATAATGGTTTTGGAGTGTGTATTGCGTTTTTGTTCCCAGATACATAGTTTTCATATTAAAAAGCTTTTTCTCTTACTTGATTTTTATGTGTGGCTGATGATCAAAAATCCTTGTTAGGTGAGCATTATAACTCTTGTCATGCATGCACTTGTTAGGTCAGCTACAGTGAGAAAGGAAAGATTCTGCAACTCCAATTACATTTCTTCCATTCTCTTCCATCCCTAGGGATTTGCTCTGATCAGTCCACCTGCCTACCTCCAAATGTTAATATATGCAGGAATTTAGTTTATGAAAAAGATGACCTTTTAAATCAGCAGTAGAAAAGACGGATAATTCAACACATGGTGTCAGATCCATAATTCACACCTTATGTCAGGAGAATTCCAAAGACCAAAGATTTAAGCACAAAAGATACAAAAATAAAGGTCCTAAAAGAAATCATAGAGGAGTGCTAATATTTTGATTATTAAATAATCATACTGGTACAAACGTATGATCAGGACTCAGGAGCTATAAAATAATTTATTGAAATAGTTGAATATTTTGCAATATGATAAATTCCTGAATAGCAAAATATTTATAAGTAAAAACTAAAATCAAAGGGTGTGACAGATGTGGCACAGAGAAGAAAGGAGAGTTTTTTTGTTTGTTTTACCTTGTACCTTTTTGTATGTTTCAAAGTTTTGTACTATGCAGTTATAAAAATAATCTGTTTGGGGCCAGCAGGTGGCGTGGTAGACTCTGACATGGCCAACCACAGTTCAAATCTCATACCTGGTGGCTTGCTTTCTCACTTTCTCTCTCTCTGGTCAAAATAAATAATAGTGATAATAAATAAAATTAAATATTTTTTAATAGGAAAAAAAATCTGTTTTTCCAAGATTTTCCAAATGACCTTAAAAAGTTTCCTCCTGAGGTCAGCAGGTGGTGTGGTGGTTAAGGGATTGGATTCCCACATTGCTGACTACAGTTCAAGTCCTGGACCTGGCAGCTTGAAAATCATGCCAGGAGCCCATACATTGCATGCCCAGGATTCCAAGAGGAGAATGGAGGATAAACAACTGTGGTGTGCCCTTCCCCCCCAGGGGTGATTCCTTACTTTCCCTCTGTCTGTCTGTCTGACAAGTGCATGTACCCTATGGCAAAAATGTAAACCAGAAAATTTCTTTGTCTCCTTTCCCTTGCTCCCAGCCAAAAAAGACATTTGTGTTTTCTTTTGGAACTGTACCCTTTAGCTATTTATATATTAGCTTCTGGTCTTCTTCTTAACAATTTATAGGAGTTCCTTGTGTATTAATTAGCCAAATTAATCTTTTATGATTTGAGTTGCAAACATTTTTTCAAGTTTGCCATTTGACTTGGTCGTAGTGCTCTTATAAGACAGTTTGGTAGAGTGATTACGGAAGGGACTACAGTTCCTTTCATCCCTCTGCACTTGCCACTCTGTAACATGACATTGCCATTGCTCTCAGAAGAGCCAACATCGATATCTCCACCTTTTGTATCTGGCTAGTTTTGGGGTATGACTCATTCTGGCCAGTGAATCTGTAGCAAATGTAACACAAGTAGGGGAATGAAAACTGCTTGTGCATGAGCCTGCCCTTTCTTACTGCTCTTTAGGATTCTGAGACCATGATAGAAATAAATCTGAACACATCTATTGGAGGATGAGAAACCGTGAGCCAGAAACCAGTCATTCCAACTGAGCCCTGCCCCCAGACCCCAAGACCAACTAGGCTGCCAGCTGCCAGATGTGTGAATGAGGCTTCTTAGACTGTCGAGCCCCAGCTGACCTATAAGCAAACTGCAGTGATCAGCCATCCTGACCAAAAGAGAAGCACCACTGCTTTGGAACATTAATTATGTTTGTAAAATTCCTTCTGTAACAGCACCTGATGTGAACATGAAAAACTATAATGTGTACTATAGAGATGCACAGTGATTAAATTTGAATAAGAAATCACACTTTTTTAAAAGAAAGGAAAAAATAGTAATTGTATTGAATTTCAGTTCGAAAATGTTTTAATTGGGGCCAGCAGGTGACATGGTGGTTAAGGGTGCTGGACTCCTACATGGCCAACTGCAGTTCGAGTCCTGGACCTGACGGCTTGCTTTCTCACTTTCCATCTCTCTCTCACTCCGTCCCTCTCTGGTCAAATTTAAATAAACAAAGTTAAATAAAATTTTTAAAAAAATGTTTTAATTAGGGCTGGCTCTATGGCCTAGTGGTTGAGACAGCCGGATCCCATGTGGCCAGCCACATGGTTATAATCTTGACTGTGGTGACTTGCTAAACACACCAATCTATGAGCATGCATGCCCAAAATCCCAAAGGGGCAGAGAGACGGAAAAGAAGGGATTGCAGCGTGACCATGTCCCATTAAACTTTTTTTCTCTATCTCCTTTTTCTTTTAAATAAATATCTTTTAAATATAGCTTTTTTTAAAGAATTATTTTTATTTAACTTTATTTATTATTTTTAATTTGATCAGAGAGCAAGTGAAAAAGCAAGCTGTCAGGTCCAGAACTCGAACTGTGATTGACCATGCAGGAGTCTAGCATCCTTAACCACCATACCACCTGCTGGTGCCTAAATATACCTTTCTTTTTTTTTTTTTTTTGAGAGGTTTTTGCTATAGGGTGCATGCATTCACCAGACAGACAGGGAGAGACACAGAGATAGAAAGCGAGAAATCACCCCCCAGGGGGGATGGTCACGCCACAATCCCTTCTCCTCCATTCTCCTCTCGGGATCTTGGGCACGCACGCACACGCGCCCGGCGTGAGTTTTAAGCCACCGGGTCCGGGACGCGAACCGTGGTCGACTACGTGGGAGTCCAGCGACATAGCCATTACGCTAACTGCTGGTTCACAAGAACTTTTTTATTTTATTCATTGTCATTATTTTATTTTATTTTTTGAAGTTGACCAGAGAGAGAGAGAAGGAAAGTGAGAAAGCAAGCTGTCCGGTTCTGAACGCAGACCGTGCTTAGTCATGTGGGAGACCAGCCACCCCAACCACCACGCTGTCTGCTGGCGCCCTCTGTCTCATTTTTCTTTGTCTGTTTTTCCCTGGCAAGTGTGTGTACCTTTGGCAAAAAAAAAAAAAAAAAGAAAAGTTAAAAGGCAAAAAGTGAAAAGCTAAGTTGGGACCAGCAATGGGGTAATCGTTACGTTGCTGAACTCACATAGTCAACTGTGGTTTGAATCCGGATCCACTGGGTTAAAACTCATGTCAGGCACATTTGTGTGTCAGCCCAAAATCTGAAGAGGAGAATGGAGGAGAAAGGATTGCAGTGTGGCCATCTCCCTGGAGGGGTGATTTCTTCCTTTCTGTCTCTGTGTCTCTCCAGTGAGAACATGCATCCTACAGCAAAAATCTCACTTTAAAACAACCAAAAAGCCTCCAGGGCTAGCAGGTGGTGTGGTACTTAAGGCAGCCTGGATCCCATGTGGCTGACTGTGCGGTGCCAACTGCGCTGTTCAAGTTTCAGACCTGGTGTCTTTAAAAACATGCCAGGCGGGTGTGCCCAAGACCTGGAGAAGAGAGTGGAGGAGAAGGGATTGTGGCATGGCCATCCCCCATAATAAGTGATTTCTTACTTCCTCCAGTGAGCACACATGCCCTAAGGGGGAGGGAGCCTCCAATTCTGCTGTATGTGAGAAGAATATATTAAAAGTAAAGATTTAGAAAAGATGAAAGCTAAAGCACAAAAAACATTTATTATGCAAATACTAACCAAAGAAAAATGGACCTACTAGATGTTACTATCAGGAGAAATGTTTTACAGCAGAATTTATTACTAGAGATAAAGAGACCACTTTATAATGACAGTGTTCATTTTTTTCAGAAAAATAAATTTACATGTTCCTAATAACATCTAAAAATATATAAAGTGGGGGCTGGATGTTGGTGTGCTAATAAAACATGATGCTCTGTGAGGCTGGTCCGCATGGGAGGATTCCAAGTTTGTATCCAGAGAAACCCCCCTGAGTATGCCAGGCAGAAGTGTAACCATGATCCTGAGGTGCTGAAGCTGGGGGTGGCTAGTGGCATCAAGACCTTGCTGGGGACGCTTTCTCTGTCTTCTTGCTCCTGGAAGAAATAAGTAAATGAATAAACTTTAAAAAGTAATAGAAGGCCAGCCCTGTGGCTTAGTGGTTGTGGGATCTGATCCCACATGGCCGGTGTCACTTCAAATCCCAGCCCTGGTGGCTTAAAAACACAGAGTTCATGTGTGCATGCCCAGAATCCCTACAGGATGGAGAAGTGGACAAGAAGGGATTGTGGTGTGACCATACCTTATTGGCGGGTGCTTTCTCCCTCTCACTGTCTGTCTCTCAGTCTCTCTGGCAAGTGCACGTACCCTTTAACAAATGAAATGGAAAATTAAGAAATAGGAACCAGTAGATGGCATAGTGGTTACATCACTGGAGTCCCATGTAGTTTACCATGGTTCGAGTCCTGGACCCAGTGGCTTAGAATTAATGTCAGGTGCATGTGTGTGTGTCCCCAAAATCCTGAGAGGAGAATAGAGGAGAAGGGATTGTGGTGTGGCCATCCCTCCAGGAGGTAATCTCTCACTTTCTGTCTTTCTCTGTCTCTGGTAAGTGTATGTACCCTATAGCAAAAATCCCTCTTAAAAAAAAAAGAAAATTTAAAAATAATAAAAACATTTAAAGCAGGACCAGCAGATGGTGTAATGGTTTTGTCACTGGACTCCCACGTAGTCAACCGTGGTTTGAGTCCTGGACCTGGTGGCTTAAAACTCTGGGTGTGTGTGCATGCATGCCCAAAATCCCAAGAGGAGACTGGAAAAGGGATGACCCCCTGGCCATCTCCCCAGGGGATGATTTTTCACTTTCTATCTCTCTGACTTTCCAGAAAGTGCATGTGCCCATAGCAAAATCTCTTGGGGGGATATATATATATATATGTGTGTGTGTGTGTGTGTGTGTGTGTGTGTGTATTAAACAAATTTTACTAAAATCCAAGGGGAAGTAGATGGATCACAATTAGGGTAGGTTGCGCTCCTCTCTCGGTAACTGATAGACTAGACAGAAAAAAAAAGGTTTCAAAATATTTTAAAAGGGACCAGTAGGTGGCATGGTGATTAAGGTGATGGACTCCTCACATGGTTGACTATGGTTCAAGTCCTGGAATAAGTAACTTGAAATTCATGTTAAATGTGTGTGTGTGCATATCCAAAATCCCGAGAGGAAAATGGAGGAGAAGGGATTGTAGTATGGCCATCTCTCCTGGGGGAGTGAGTTCTCACTTTTCTGCTCTCTGTCTTGGCAAGCATGCACGCCCTATGGCAAAAACCGTTAAAAAAGAAATGCAATTCTGGGACCAGCAGATAGGGTAGCGATTACATCACTGGACTCCCACGTGGTCAACTGGGTTGGAGTCCTGGACTGACGGCTTGAAACTCACTCTGGGTGCGTGTGTATGTATGTTCAAGATCCCAGGAGGGAACCAGCAGTTAGCGTAATGGCTATGTCGCTGGACTCCCACGTAGTCGACCGTGGTTCGTGTCCCGGACCCGGTGGCTTAAAACTCACGCCGGGCGCGTGTGCGTGCGTGCCCGAGCTCCCCAGAGGA